CTCTTACGCAGAGGCGATAGAGGGTCCCTACTCCTCTCAGTGGCAGGCAGCCATGGACGCAGAGATGGCTTCCTGGAAGTCCACAGGCACCTACGTAGACGAGGTTCCCCCACCTGGGGCGAACATCGTCAGTGGCATGTGGATCTTCAGGGTGAAGCGGCCGCTGGGTTCTCCGCCTGCCTTCAAGGCGCATTACGTTGCACGTGGCTTCAGTCAGCGACAGGGAGTTGACTTCTTTCAGACCTTCTCCCCTACCCCGAAGATGACCACTCTTCGGGTACTGCTGCACGTTGCTGCTCACCGTGACTACGAGTTGCACTCTCTGGACTTCACCACAGCTTTCTTGCAGGGCAGCCTGCACGAGGAGATCTGGATGCGCCACCCACCTGGCTTCACTGGATCGTTTCCTGCACGTACCCAGTGGAGCCTCCGGAGGTCAGTCTATGGTCTTCGACAGGCGCCTCGCGAGTGGCACGACACACTGAGGACTACACTTGCGACTCTTGGGTTTGCTCCTTCTACTGCTGACCCATCGCTGTTTCTACGCACCGACACCTCACAGCCGCCGTTCTACGTCCTCGTGTATGTCGACGACCTCGTTTTTGCCACTGCTGACACTGAGGCACTGACCCTTGTGAAGTCGGATCTGCAGAAGAGACACACTTGCACTGACGTGGGTGAACTGCGCAGCTATCTTGGCTTGCAGATCACCCGGGACAGAGCACGGCGCACCATCACACTGACTCCAGGGTCACACATGGTGCACCAGGTCCTTCAGCGCTTCAACTTCCAGTTCTCCTCGCCACAGCCCACTCCTCTGTCTACCGGCCACTCCTTCTCATCTCCACCTTCGGACGAGTACGTAGAGCTGAGTGGTCCGTACCCAGAGCTTGTGGGTTGCCTCATGTACCTGATGACGTGCACTCGACCTGACCTCGCGTACCCTCTCAGCCTCTTGGCTCGCTACGTGGCTCCCGGTAGGCACCGAAAGGTGCACTAGGATGCTGCGAAGAGGGTATTGCATTTCTTGTGCAGTACGTCGAGCATGGGGCTCGTGCTTGGAGGACGGGGTCCAGTTGTCCTCACTGGTCACGCAGACGCTTCTTGGGTTGACGAGTTGGCTATGCAGCGGTCGTCACAGGGTTACACCTTCAGCCTTGGTTCCGGCTCTGTTTCCTGGCGGTCTACCCGCTCGTCTTCGGTTCTCAGCTTCAGTTGTGAGGCTGAGATCTACGCAGGGGCCATGGTTGCACAGGAGTTACGCTGGCTCACCTACCTGCTGACTGACTTGGGAGAGCAGCCTCGTTCGCCTCCAGTTCTGTACGTAGACAACAAGGCCATGATTGCCTTGTGTTAGGAGCACAGACTGGAGCACAAAACGAAGCACATCGCTCTGCGATACTTCCTTGCTCGAGAGTTGCAGCAGCGTGGCCATCTTCGTCTTGCGTACGTGGCCACTAGGGCCAACACTGCTGATATATTCACCAAGGCACTTCCGCCTGGTGATCATCAGCACTTCTCTACTGTGTTAGGCCTTGTGCCTACTTTGCCTCACTTGCTCACTACTTGACTCTGCTTGTACTGTGATCTTTATATATACCTGCATGCTTACACCTGCTAGGGTATGATCACCGTATTATTTGTTCTCTTTATATCACACTGCATGTGAACTGGCCTTGTGGCCCTTTGCTTGTGGTCGGACTGTGTGGTGACTTTGTGATCCACCCTGAGCTTGCTTTGCTTTTCTTGACTGGTCTTGTGACCCCCCTTGTTCTCCCCCACTTTGCTTATGGGGGTGTGTCAGAACATTGTAGTGCTTACATTTGTGTATTCTATAGTGGGGTAGCCCATAAGGGGTACAACCCAATTAGGGTTAGTACTTGTACCCAACTGTTTCATAGTTCATTCATTCTTGTTCGTTTGTTCTTACAGCCTCAGCCACCTGTGCAGACGCAGTGGTCAATGTGTACAGACTAGACCGAGGCCGTCGAGTGAACGTAGCAAGGTGACGGCAAGTCGGGTCCTCGTACAGATCGCCACACGCTGCCCTCCAGGAATAAAGGTATCAACCCAGACATCCTGAATAGCAGCGTTGCTCACCAAGTTTGTCGAGAACGTGGGGAGGTGGAGACCTGACAGAGAACCGGAGGGGACAGCTTGACACGGGAGGACAGTGGAGGCTCGTGCGAATACTGGGCCCCCAGTGGGGTCAGCCACTGAGACTGGTACCGGTGCAGCAAGTGGTGTGAGTGCGGTGCAGTCACGAAAAAAGCAGCGTGACGCGCCTGAGTCAAGTATGAAAGTGTGCAAGGCCTCAGCTGAGGAAGGACCTGTGGCGGGAGACGCACGAGCACCTAAAGCTGTAGCAGACTCACTAGCATCTGGAGCGGCAGCAGTCTCACTAGCACCTAGTGCGGCAGCAGACTCACTAGCACCTAGTGTGGCAGTAGACTCACCAGCACCTAGTGCTGCAGCAGACTCACTAGCACCTAGTGCAGCAGCCTCGAGAGAACCAGTGACACATCACTAAGCACCTGCGGGGAGAAGGTCTCCTGCTGACTCTGCTGCCGCCTCTGTGCAGTACGCAGAAAACCAAAGCCTCCACCACCTGGACGGGCTCGCTGAAGAACCCACTCGCGAAGCTTCTGAGGGGTGGGGTCGTCCGGGAGAGGTAGTGACCGCCGCTGTCCACCCCTAGCCGCTGTAAGTGCCGTGATATTGGCCATGACAGGCAATGACGGTCAGTAGTAGGTCCAGCACCTCCAGCACCAGCAGCACCTCCAGCACTCCCTGTCGCACCTCCAGCACCTCCAGCACCAGCAGCACTCCCAACACTCCTAGCAGCACCTCCACCAGCAGCAGCAGTAGGACGAGCAGTAGTAGCAGCAGGGCGGCTCGTTGGGGCTGGTGATCGAGGTAGGGCGGCGCGGCCCGGGCTGGGCGGCGCAGCTCGGCCGGGCTGGGCGGCGCTGTTGGGCAAGGCAGGGCGTGCCGCGGACTACAGGGCAGGGCGCGCGGTGGACAGGGCAGCAGGGCGTGCGCTGTGCAGGGCAGCAGGGCGCGACGTGCGAGGCAACAGAGCGCGACGCGTGGGCTGCAGTAGGGCGCGACGCGCGGGCTGCAGCAGGGCGCAACGTGCGGAGCAGCAGAGCGCGGCGCGCAGGCTGCAGCAGGGCGCGACGCGTGGGGCAGTAGGGCGCGACGTGCTGGGCAGGGCAGCAGGGCGCGACGCGCTGGGCTGCAGGGCAGGGCACTGCGGCTCGCGAGCTGCAGGGCAGGGCGGCGCGCTGGCCTAAGGGCAAGGCAGTGCGATGCACGGGCTGCAGGGCAGCTGGGCGCGTGCTGCAGGGCAGGGCGGCGCGTGCTGGGCAGGGCAGCAGGGCGCGAGTCGCAGGCTGAAGCAGAGCGCAACGTGTGGGGGGCAGGCAGTGCGAGTAGCTGCAGGGCAGCGCGACACTGTGCGAGCAGGGCCGGACAGCGCAAGGGCGCTTCGGGCAGGAACAAGCGGAACTATCGGTGGGCCCTAAAAACTTAACAGGTTTCCTGCTCTGAATACCATGTCAGAATCTCTGTGCAGGAATGAATGAACTATGTGTTGGGCTGAGAAGGCCCTTAGGATCTTTGCAGGACAGAATTCAAGAGTAGGATGATGTAGTAGCGGAAGCGTTTTAATAAAGACTTGTTGAACCACCTTGTACTGGTTTGTGAGAACAAAGTAAGTTGATAATAATAAGAAGATACAAGCTTTTATATGACTACAAGGAATATGAAAAGGTTCTATTTTAACTGCTTTGCTGTTGCGGTTCGATACAGTGCCGATGTGAGAATGATAGACGAAAGAATGAATGAACTAGAAATGAGATGGGTACATATAGGAAACACATAAGTGTTGTACCCACTAAGAGCTACCCCACTACAGCCTAAATAGACCATAGCAGATATAAGTTTGACACACCCCCATAGGCAAAGTGGGGGAGAACAAGAGGTCACAAGACCAGTCAAGAAAAGCAAAGCAAGCTCAGGGTGGATCACAAAGTCACCACATAGTCTGAGCACAAGCAAAGGGCCATAAGGCCAGTTCACATGCAGAGTTATATAAAAGAAAGTAAACAGTACAGTGAACACAACCTAGCAAGTGTAAGCATGCAGGTATAAGTATATAGAGTACAGTACAAGCAGAGTCAAGAAGTCAACAAGTGAGGCACAGTAGGTACAAGGCCTAACACAGTACAGAAACGCTGATGATCACAAGGCTGAAGTGCCTTGGTGAAGACATCAGCAGTGTTGGCCTGAGAGGCCACGTAAGCAAGACGAAGCTGGCCACGCTGCTGCAACTCTCGAGCAAGGAAGTAGCGCAGAGCAATGTGCTTCGTTCTGTGCTCCAGTCTGTGCTCTTGACACAAGGCCAGCATGGCCTTGTTGTCGACGTACAGAACTGGAGGAGAACGAGGCGCCTCTCCCAAGTCGGTCAGCAGGTAGGTGAGCCAGCGAAGCTCCTGTGCAGCCATGGCCCCAGCGTAGATCTCAGCCTCACAACTGGAGCTGAGAACAGAAGAAGAGCGGGTAGACCGCCAGGAGACAGAACCGGAGCCAAGGCTGAAGGTGTTACCCTGTGACGACCGCTGCGTAGCCAAGTCGTCAACCCAGGAGGCGTCAGCGTGACCAGTGAGGACAACTTGAGCCCGTCCTCCAAGCACGAGCCCCATGCCCGATGTACTGCACAAGTATCGCAACACCCTCTTCGCAGCATCCCAGTGCACCTTTCGGTGCCTGCCGGGAGCCACGTAGCGAGCCAGAAGGCTGAGAGGGTATGCGAGGTCAGGTCGTGTGCAAGTCATCAGGTACATGAGGCAGCCCACAAGCTCTGGATACGGGCCACTCGGCTCTACGGACTCGTCCGAAGGTGGAGCTGAGAGCGAGTGACCGGTAGGCAGAGGAGTGGACTGTGGCGAGGAGTAGGTGAAGCCGAAGCGCTGAAGGACCTGCTGCACCATGTGTGACTAAGTCAAGGTAATGGTGCGCTGTGCTCTGTCCCGGGTGATCCGCAAGCCAAGATAGCTTGTGAGCTCACCCAGGTCTGTGCACGTGTGTCTCTTCTGCAGCTCGGACTTCACGTGGGCGAGTGCCTCCGTGTCAGCAGTAGCAAAGACAAGGTCGTCTACGTACACAAGAACGTAGAACGGCGGCAGAGTAGCGTCAGTGCGTAGAAACAGAGAAGGGTCAGCAGTGGAAGGAGAAAAACCAAGAGCAGCAAGAGTCGTCCTGAGCGTGTCGTGCCACTCACGGGGCGCCTGGCGGAGACCGTAGACTGGCCGCCGGAGGCTCCACTGGGTACCAGCAGGAAACGACCCAGTGAAGCCAAGTGGGCGGCGCAGCCAGATCTCCTCGTGCAGGCTGCCCTGTAGGAAGGCTGTGCTGAAGTCAAGCGAGTGGAGCAGCAACGTGCAGCAGTACCCGAAGAGTGGTCATCTTCGGGGTAGGGGAGAAGGTCTGAAAGAAGTCAACTCCCTGTCGCTGACTGAAGCCACGTGCAACGTAACGCGCCTTGAAGGCAGGCGGAGAACCCGGCGGCCGCTTCACCCTGAAGATCCACATGCCACTGACGATGTTCGCCCCAGGTGGGGGAACCTCGTCTACGTAGGTGCCTGTGGACTTCCAAGAAGCCATCTCTGCGTCCATGGCTGCCTGCCACTGGGAGGAGTAGGGACCCTCTATCGCCTCTGCATAAGAGCGCGGGGTCGGGATGTCTAGTGCATCCGGGTCTCCCTCAGGGGCAAGCAGCATGGACACGAGATGAGGTGAAGCAGCAGCAAAGCACTCAAGGTCCTCCTGCCTGTCCTCAAGGACGTCCGTGCCAAGAGCACACTCACCCCCGACGGACGGAGGACAGACAGACACAGACGCAGACTCAGCAACAAGACTAGCGGCGTAGTCTAGGCGACAGGGTGCAGCAAAGTCAACAAGCTCAGCAACAAGAGCAGACGTAGCAGAGAACTCAAACAGGGGGTCAGTGACAGCAGTGGCCAGAAAGCGCGTGACAGTAGGACTAGCAGCACGAAGGGAGTCAGACTCCGGGTCCGGACCGTCAGGAAGAGAGGACGCAGGAGGAGAGGGCAGAGGGACACGCTGTGGAGCAGTGGAAGGACGCAAAGTCATAGAGTGAGTGCCAGGGACAGGAGGAAGACGCGGACGCGAAACACGACCAGCGCGAACAGAACGGACAGGCGACGTAGAACGAGACGCAGGCGACACAGGACGCGACTCAGGCTCACGACGCTCCGTAAGACCTCTAGTCGGACCAGAGTAAGGAGAAGGACCAGGCAGCGGAGAGGCCGGCTGTAACTGCGACTGAGACGGGACAGGCGGTGGACTCAAGGAAGGAGGAGGAGGACCAGGAGAAGGTGGGGAGCCAAGAACCTGCTGAAGAAGCGGAACGTAGTACGGCCGCGGCCGCGCAGCGCCTCGAGAAACAGCAGAGACAGAACCGGTACCCTCAGCCTCAGGGTCTCCAGTCCTAGCAGCACCTCCAGCAGCTCCAGCACCAGCAGCACCTCCTGTAGCTCCAGCACCAGCACCACCTCCAGCAGCACCAGCACCTCCAGCAGCTCCAGCAGCTCCAGCACCAGCACCACCTCCAGCAGTGCCAGCACCTCCAGTAGCTCAAGTAGCACCTCCAGCACCAGCAGCACCTCCAGCAGCTCCAGCACCAGCAGCACCTCCAGCAGCTCCAGCACCAGCACCACCTCCAGCAGCGCCAGCACCTCCAGCAGCACCCGCACCAGCAGCACCTCCAGCAGCAACCCGACAGCTCCGAGAGTACCACTCATGAAGCCGCTGTGGAGAGAGGGGCTCCCGCTGCGACGGGACACCCAGAGCACCTCCAGACTCAACACGCGCAGGCTCAGCACCTCCAGACACAGTACCCTCAGGCGCCACACCCCCAGGCTCAGCACGCCCAGTCTCAGCACCCCCAGACTCAGCACCCCCCGTCTCAGCACCCCCAGTCCCCGCACCCGCAGGGTCAGCACCCCTAGCAGCACCTGAGTCGACAGCTACCTCGACCGGCTCGTCAGGGTCTACCTGGGACACACCTGAGGGGGCAGGACCCTGGGGGGGGAGGGGGTCTACCGGAGGAGTACCTGGGGCAAGGAAGAGCGGCGGGGGAGGGGGAGAGGCAGTGCGGTAGGGAAAGAGACGGTAGTACGACACCGACTCGTCAAACGTGACGTCCTGAGAGGACAGAACACGACGCGAGCTGGGGTGGTAGAACTGCCACCCGGGTGCGTCAGGAGGGAAGCCAAGGAAGACACAGGGAACGGCACGGGAGGACAGCTTGTCCGCTGTAGTATCGCGGACAAAAGCTCGAGATCCCCAGACACGGAACGCGGACGCATCGCCAACCTTCCCCGTCCACCGCAGAGTAGGTGTGGTCTCCGGCAAGGAGACACGAGGCTGAAGGTTGATCTGATGCGCAGCGTACTGAACCGCGAACGGCCACAGAAAATGGGGAGCAGCCGCATGGATCATGGGCGTACGAGCGACATCCATGACCATGCCAATGCGGCGCTCAGCAATCCCATTTTGCTGCGGGGAGGCCGGAAGCGTGAACGTCTGGCGGATGCCCTCCAAACGACAGAAGGCTCTCAGAAGGTCGGAGGAAAACTCCCCGCCTCTGTCTGAGTGCAGACGCAAAACAGGAAGGTCGGAGCCGAAACTCTCACTAAGCTGGCGACGAGCACCGCGGATCCAGTCGATCAACACCTCAGTGACCTCACCCTTGCTGCGCAAGGGGAAGACTGTGGTGTAACGCGAGTAGTCGTCAACGACCAGCAGGAAGTAACGCTCGTGACCCTATCCACGAACGCGGGCTGGGCCCCACACGTCCATGTGAAGAGTCTGCAGAGGGGCCTCAGTCGGAGGAAACGAGGAGGAGTGAGGAGCGGCGCGCTGCCGGCCCTCGACACAAGGAACACAGGTGGGGGCAGGCCCCGGAGGAAGGGGAGGGAGGGACCTGGGGAGTCCAGAGACAAGAGCACGGGAGGCCATACCTCGAAGACGAGGCAGGGAGGGGTGACCAAGGCGGTGGTGCCAGAGGAGAGTCTCGTGCGCCAGAGGACGACACGAGCAGGGGGCAGACGCAGGACTAGACCTGGACGCGGCCCATCCGAGAGCAAGTGCAGTGGGTCACACGCTGACCTCCAGGGGTGAACTGGTCAACCCACGCGTCCTTGAGGTCAGCTCCACTCACCAAGTTCGTAGAGAACAAGGGGAGGTGGAGTCCCGACAGCAAGCCCGACGGGGCCGCAGGACACGGTAGAACCGTGGAGGAGTGTGCAAGGACTGGGCCCCCTGAGGGGTCAGCAAGGGAGACCGCAACAGGCCGACTGAGCGGCGTAAGCGTGGTGCTGTCTCTAAAGAAAGAGCGCGAAGCACCAGAGTCAAGTGTGAAAGTGTGCAAGGACTCAGTAGGTGCAGTACCAGAGAGAGGAGACGTACCAGCACCTGGTGTCAGATTTATATGACATAGCTACTGTAGGCTAGAGTGGGGTAGCACATATGGGGTACAGTTTTCTAGGGTTTGCTTCTTGTACCCAACTATCACTTAGTCATTCTCATTCCTGTTTTTCTTGATTCACATGGTATAGAGCGGGTTCCTACATGGGACCGTTCCTTCCTAAGGGCCCACCATAAGAATTTTTTTTTTAGCTGCCCACGCACATTGCGCCCTGCCCTAAATTTTTTTTTTTTAGCGGCCCCTACGCTGCCTCTACGCGGCCCCTAAGCCGCCTCCCACGCGCCCCCTATGCGGCCCCTGGCGGCGCCCTGACGAGGCCCCTGCCGGCGCCCTATCGCGGCCCCTGACGCGCCCCCTGGTGGCGCCCTGACGCGGCCCTGACGCGGCCTGACGCGGCCCCTGGCGGCGCCCTGACGCAGCCCCTGCCGCGGCCCTGACGCGGCCCTGCCGCGCCCCCTGACGCGGCCCTGACGCGGCCTGCCGCGGCCCCTGCCGCGGCCCTGAAGCGGCCCCTGACGCGGCCCTGACGCGGCCCTGACGCGGCCCTGCCGCGGCCCCTGGCGGCGCCCTGACGCGGCCCCTGACGCGGCGCCCTGACGCGGCCCCTGCCGCGGCCCTGACGCGGCCCTGCCGAGGCCCCTGACGCGGCCCTGAAGCGGCTCTGCCGCGGCCCTGACGCGGCCCTGACGCGGCCCCTGACGCGGCCCCTGCCGCGGCCCCTTACGCGGCCCTGACGCGGTCCTGCCGCGGCCCCTGGCGGCGCCCTGACGCGGCCCCTGACGCGCCGCCCTGACGCGGCCCTGCCGCGGCCCCTGACGCGGCCCCTGCCGCGGCCCCTGACGCGGCCCCTGACGCGGCCCCTGTCGCGGCCCCTGACGCGGCCCCGCCACCTACCTTTCTGGCCCCGCCACCTCCTCTCAGCGGCCCCGCCGCCTCCTCTCAGCGGCCCCGCCGCCTCCTCCCAGCGGCCCCGGACGCCGCCCTCTCAGCGGCCCCGCCGAGCCGCCCAGCAAGCCTAGCCGCCCAGCAGCTGAGCCACCGAGCCGCCCAGCAGCCGAGCCGCCGAGCCGCCCAGCAGCCGAGCCGCCCAGCAGCAGAGCCGCCGAGCTGCCCAGCAGCCGAGTCGCTGAGCCGCCCAGCAGCCGAGCCGCCGAGCCGCCCAGCAGCCGAGCCGCCCAGCAGCCGAGTCGCCGAGCCGCCCTGCAGCCGAGCCGCCCGAGCCGCCCTGTCCGGTAAGAGCAGCGCCTCTCTCACAGCACTGCCCTCACCCCACTGTTTGCGCTGCTAGTCTACTACTGTCATGGCTACCCCTAGTGTCCTCGCTTTTGACGCTGAGGGTCGGGCCATTGACTTTGACGTCTGGATAGATGACCTGCAGCTTTTCTTACAGTGCGATAGGGCAGACGGCCTCTCCCTCTTTGACCTCACTTCTGGTGCCTCTCCTGCTCCCGCCACTGATGCTGACGCAACTGTTCGCTCCCAGTGGGCCACGCGCGATGCTGCTGCACGTCTTGCTGTGCGTCGCCACCTGCCTACCTCTGAGCGTGCGCACTTTAGCCAGTACAAGAGTGCTCAGACCTTGTACGACGCTGTAGTTGCACGCTACTCCTCCCCTGCCACTGCTGCACTGAGCCGCCTCATGCTACCGTACCTCTTCCCTGACCTTGCTGCCTTTCCCACAGTCGCTGACCTCATCACGCACCTCCGCACTAGTGACACTCGCTACCGCGCTGCACTTCCTGCTGAGTTCTGCGCCAAGAACCCCCCCCCCATGTACATCACCCTCTACTACATCGTCACCCGTCTCCCTGACTCCCTTCGCGTAGTCAGGGACCACTTCCTCTCGGTTTGTCCCACCACTCTCACCGTTGACCTCCTCGAGAAGGCCCTCCTAGCAGCAGAAAAGAGCATAGTCGCTGTAGGAGCCTCTCGTGGTGACCCTCGCACCCCCATCTTTGAGGGGTGTTCCCCCTCCCCTCTTTTGCCCTCTGTTGCCTCTGCTGCTGCGGCCGACCTCGCTGGTTTGGAGTCGGTTGGGGCAGCGTCTACCCCTAGCGGGAGACGCCGCCCTGGCAGGGGCAAGGGGGGCAGGGGCGCTGGAGGAGCTAGCGGGGGCGGTGGAGGCGGCGGTGGAGGTGGTGGAGGAGGTGGTGGTGGCGGTAGGAGTGGTGGCGGGGGTGGAGGTGTAGGTGGCGACAGTGGAGGCGCAGGAGGCAGCGGCGGTGGCGGAGGGAGCGGAGGTGGCGGCGGTGGAGGAGGAGGCGGCGGAGGAGGTGGAGCTGGTCGGGGTGGCGCTGCGCAGAGGGTCAGCTCCGGTGGTGGTCAGCGCCAGCAGCAGCAGCAGCAGCAGCAGCAGCAGCAGCGCACTCGTGACGTCCCCTCCCCTCAGCAGCTCCGTGAGTGGTACACTGCACGCCAGAGGGGTGGGGGTGCTGGTCCGTGCACCTACGTCCTGCGCACCGGCGACCGCGCGGGTGAGCAGTGCGGGGGTGCGCACTCCACCCAGCGCTGCTTTGGCCGCCTCACGGACGCTTGGCGTCACCAGTTCCCTGAGGCCACTGAGATCCCCCGCTGGGGTGAGCTGTCTAGGGCGGGTGTAGCTGTCTTTGACCTTGACTTTGATGCTATTCTTGCTGCCGTGTATACTGTGACTATTAGTGATGAGGGTGACTGTTACCGGTGTTTTCCGCCCGACCCGGGCATTGAGACTGCTGCTCTAGGTACTGATGAGGCTGCTTCTCTAGGTGCTAGCGAGGCTGCTGCTCTAGGTGCGTCTACTCCCTCAGGTGCTGGTGAGTCTGCTCTCTCAGGTTCTGCATCGGCTTCGGCCTCCCACACCTTCACACTTGACTCGAGGGCTTCTCGCTCCTTCTTTCGAGACCGCACCACACTCACGCCGCTTGGCCGGCCAGTTGCGGTCTCCCTGGCAGACCCCTCTGGGGGTCCTGTCCTTGCTCACTTCTCCACTGTCCTCCCGTGTCCGGCGGCCCCCTCTGGCACCCTGTCTGGTCTCTACCTCCCCTCGTTCTCTACGAACTTGGTGAGTGGTGCTGACCTACAGGATGCGGGGGTTCACCAGTTCACTCCTGCGAGTCAGCGGGTGACCCACTGCACGGACGCTCGGACAGGCCGCCACCTGGCCACGTTTACACGTCGGCCAGGGTCGAGCCTGTACACACTGACCACTGCGTCTCCTCCAGTCCCTGCGTCTGGTCAGGTAGCTGCGTCGGGTCAGGTGTTTGCTGCAGCGTCCAGGTCTGGTCCTGAGTCTGCCCCCTGCTCGTGTCGCCTCCTGTCTCACGAGACTCTCCTCTGGCACCACCGCCTTGGCCACCCCTCCCTGCTTCGTCTCCGGAGCATGGCCTCCCGTGTCCTTGTCTCTGGTCTTCCCCGGTCCCTCCCTCCCCTTCCTCCGGGGCCAGGCCCTACCTGCGTCCCCTGTGTCGAGGGACGGCAGCGGGCTACCCCTCACTCCTCCCAGTTTCCTCCGACAGAGGCCCCGCTGCAGACGCTTCACATGGACGTGTGGGGCCCGGCCCGCGTCCGTGGACAGGGTCACGAGCGCTACTTCCTGCTGGTGGTTGACGACTACTCGCGTTACACCACAGTCTTCCCCTTGCGCAGCAAGGGTGATGTCACTGAGGTGTTGATCGACTGGATCCGCGCAGCTCGTCTCCAGCTCAGGCGGAGCTTTGGCTCGGACTTTCCTGTTCTGCGTCTGCACTCTGACAGAGACGGAGAGTTCTCCTCTGGCCTTCTGCGAGCCTACTGTCGTGCACGAGGCATCCGCCAGACCTTCACGCTTCCGGACTCTCCACAGCAAAATGGGATTGCTGAGCGCCGCATTGGCATGGTCATGGACGTCGCCCGTACGTCCATGATGCATGCGGCTGCCCCCCATTTTCTGTGGCCGTTTGCGGTTCGGTACGCGGCGCATCAGATCAACCTTCAGCCCAGGGTCTCCATGCCGGAGACCTCCCCAGCTTTGCTGTGGACGGGGAAGGTTGGCGATGCGTCTGCGTTCCGTGTCTGGGGATCTCGGGCGTTTGTCCGCGACTTGTCTGCGGACAAGCTGTCCCCTCGTGCTGCTCCTTGCGTCTTCCTGGGTTTCCCCCCTGACGCCCCAGGGTGGCAGTTCTACCACCCCACCTCTCGCCGTGTTCTGTCCTCCCAGGACGTCACGTTCGACGAGTCGGTCCCCTACTACCGCCTCTTCCCCTACCGCACTCCGTCCCTCCCCCCGCCACCGCTCTTCCTTGTACCAGGTCCCCCCCCGGTAGACCCCCTCCCCCCTCAGGGTCCTGCCCCTTCAGGTGTGTCCCAGGTAGACGCTGTTGAGCCTGTCGAGGTCGCTGGTGACTCTGGTGCTGCTGAGGGTACTGAGCCTGGGGGTGCTGACTCTAGGGGTGCTGAGCGTGTGGGTGCTACGCCTGGGGGTGCTGAGCCTGGGGGTGCTGAGCCTGGGGGTGCTGAGTCTGGGGGTACTACGACTGGGGGTGCTGAGCCTGGGGGTACTACGCCTGGGGGTGCTGAGCCTGGGGGTGCTGCGTCTGGGGGTGCTGAGCCTGGGGGTACTCCGCCTAGAGGTGCTGAGCCTGGGGGTACTACGCCTGGTGGTGCTGTGCCTGGCGG